CGATAACAGTATACGCTGTGCATTACTCCTGTCTGTGGTCGAGAACTAGGGTACATAGTGAAATATGCGCGCGATTTGATATCAAGGTGCAGTCTCGTCGATCAAAGGTACGTTAATTTCGTCACTTGTTGCCAATGTTTATGATTATGTACTGTTTATTTATGATGGAATTTAACTATAGCGTCTGGTGTATCTTTTATGTATCCAAGACATAGGGATCCATTGCGATATTCTCGGCCTAATATTATTATGGTCTATCCGGTCTTCGCCCTTTTTTCAGTTTAAAGTATCTAGTTACCCCGAAACTCCTTACCTTTCTTCAGGGATTTTTTTTCTAACCCAATTACCGCATATTAGTTCCAGATATTCTTCCATTCTTTTGCAATGTTTGGTTAACCACAGAAGTGAGCATATGGATTCCACCGTAATAGAAAACTGTTTTAACTATAATAATCACGTCACCATTAAGCTATTCGATGATAACGAGAATGAACCAGCTGGAACACAGTGAGAACACGGGAGAAAAATCGCATTCGAAGGAAATCACATCATCACGAGGTATACGCAATACATTGACTTTTTTCCTATATTCCAAACTGATTACTCGCTGTGCAATCTATTCATGAATTTCTGGTGAAAAATGTGTATCATTAGTGTCCGTAGACATCTATTAGTTCGTTCACTTTTATTGTTGCTAGCGTATATTCAAAAAGATCTACAGATTCGTTATGGTCAGTATTGGCAGACATAAGTGACGGATCAAGTTCAACACATGATGCCATAACTGTATTCACTAATCAAAAGTGCATCGCTCAAACAGTCAGGGGCGCGTCAAGCTCGGGTTATGATGACTCTTGGTCACTGACTTGCGTAATTGCATCCATGCTCTAGCAAAGACAAGAGTGATTATCGTTCATTCACACAGGCGTGACAGCGATTATCGATCGCCTGGGTCTGACATCTTACACCACATACCCGCTTCCCAGTCAATAGCGGTTATCGTTTGCGGTTATCCGTTTGCGACAGAGCCCATTGATAAACCCAATGGTCCTTACTCTGGTGACCACTATTCAGTTTTTACAACCATTAACCATGCATTTTCCTGTCCCGGTTTTTGTCATTAACATTTGGCCTACCTTTTGGATAAAAGAGCAGAATGAGGATTCGAATGTTGAGAGCAAATTCAAGGGGAAGACAGAGTATTCATGTAGACTGGCGTTGCAAGAATATTGAGCAGATGCTCGAGCGCCACTGTCGGCGACACAGCCATTTCTAACTACCGGTTACCATGAGTTTGGAGTCCCTAGTCAGGGAGCCTAACGGGACCTATGTGATCCATTGCCCCGATTAGGGTTTTCAAACCCTCATGCAGGATCCTAGATTGACCATCCCCGACCTTTTTCCTCCCGATATCAGCCTCGTTGTGGCAACCTATTTGTCGACATGCACGATATATGCCCAACCAGCGCAGTCTATGGAGGTCGATCACTTACTCCAGTGGATGACCGCAATTACCCAAAACGGTGAGAGCGGTGCCAGAAAGAAGTTTAAAGACGATGTTGACCAAGCTGATTCCCCTGTGGTTTTAACAAGAAGATCTGTTGCCTTTTTTGTTAATGATGTCAATGATGACCGATTCACACTACTCAGTTGGAGCCCGTTCCCTTTCCCATACTGAGCCCAGGAGTTTCGTTAGTTCTAAAATCAAAAGTGAAAAAGATTACCGCTACTACCGAGAGCCGCAGCCTTCTCCATCCCTCTACACTTTTCTATCCAACACTTATCACGGTCATTCTTCAGGCTCGTGATGAATTGACCTTGTATTGTTGGGATCCAATTTCAGTGGCTTTTCCGCAGCATGGTCATGCAGATGTCCACTTCGCCTTTCATGCTAAGCTGCTCATCCTCGATCAAAAGCAAAACATATTCCCGTAAATGTTTCTACACGAACATTTGAAAGACCAAACCGAACTCCGATCCATTGGTTATAACATAGAACAGTAGGGAGGCAGCCGTACCAATTTGACATTGGGAAATACTGCGGCTGTGTTNCAGCCAGCTGTGAAATAACGCAGAATCCATCCATGCGTTCTTTAAAAAGTTAAAACTGTAAGGAAGGCTTTTTCTATCTACATCTCGGAAAAATCGTGCAGTTTGAAATTCTCCAACAAACAACGATGATAACTTTTCTCCAGTCATGCTCCCTTTCTTGGATCCAGAAACTGTTTTCGTTTGAGACTTAATGTTCTTTCTGAGAGTTAATTGTAATACAAAGCTGTTTCCTAAGTATTGAAACTATCACAGTCAGCATAGCCATGGATTAACTGCAGTAACCCCGCTCGAAACTCGTCCACTGCATCACGTGGTACCGCCCAACTTTCCAAACAAACTTATAACGTAATGCACATTAGTAGTTGCTTGACCCTTACTGTGTGGGATTGAATAACACACCACCACAACTGTCTGACCAAGAACGAAACTAACTTTTGGAAGCCTTGAAGTAACGATGATGTATTCTTCGCGTTAGCTGGATTGTCTTCTTACAAACGATGCTCTCCGCCACGGGAAACTCACCCTCATAAAGTAAACTAAGCCAAGGTCACCACATTAATTGTCTTGGACATTTCGTTGGTTTTCAGGTGGCATCTTTCCTGAGATGCTCTAGTGTTTACAAATTATCCTATATTCGTTCCAAAGGATATAGCACTGTAAACAGTTTTTCTTGAAATACGAAGTGATTTGGCTACGGAACTCTGACATGCACCTGGATGATTCAGCATTGCAACACATTCCGATCGCTTGCCCGTTTTAAAGCCAAAGACTGTATTCAATTGTTAGCATAGGTGTGTCTTCCTTGGAAGGATTATCCGATCAGTGAATAGTGTCATCTTCGCGTCACACCAGGTGAAACGCCATTGGCTGAATACGACATTTCAGGTTCGTTGGTCAATGGCTGTATCGAACATTGGTCAACGACGAAGAGGGTAGGTATCAGAAACAGGTATCAGGAACATTACATGGTCAAAAACAACGTTATTAAACATACGGTTGGTTTGGGTTTTCGAAAAAGTGGGAAGATATTGGAAAATGCGAATTCTCAAGAGTGCGATATAGCAGGAGATTGACTGTACTCTTAAATGTATCGTTTTAGACGTTTTCCCATATACGACCACCCATGAAGCCGTGAATGTTTTGTTTTGATACCAATAACTTCAAAAAAGCAAAACCTAATATTGAGTGGTGCATTTGACACGTTTCGTTCCTCATAATGGTTGGTTGAGATCTCTTGTCTGTGCAGATATAAGCAAACCAGTAAATACACAACGACATGAACAAGGGACTACTCACACTGATTAATTGGTACATGGCCGTGAATGCGGCCGCCCGACACAGACCCTCGATTTCCGCGCCGCTGAAATTTTTTGTCTTTGCAGCCAACTCTTTTAAGCTGACATCACTGGCTATTTTACCCGCCTGACGCATTTTGGCCGTATGAATCTCCAGGATTTGTAGACGTCCATCTTCATCCGGAAGAGAGATTTCCATTTGCATCTGGATTATTGGGTATGGTAAGAGAGCGACAAGAGAAAAACATTTGCGTCGTTTAATTTCAATGAAAACACAAATAATTCAAAACGATTTTCAGTTCATTGCTCACTTTCACAGCCAGACTGGAAATGTTTTATCATCAACCGAGGTGAGTTGATCATTTAACTGACCGGAACCGAGTCGAGTCTACTACCAATCGGTTTGGTAGGGATTTTCCGGTCACCAGAAAGATCACTCGTCACTTGCGTTTCGGAAGGAACTACTTCCTTAGTCACATTATATAGAACTATCATGGAAATCCAGTGAGTGTCCGCAAGAGTGGCGCAATTTATTTTAATGACTTCATTTCTAAACAGAGCCACTCATATAACGTAAAAATAAAAGTGACTCGGGTGTTGATTCGAAGATCATGATTTACTTATCGTCTTAAGGTCTGACCAGCATTCATGAGCTTCCAGATCCTGACGCTAATCGATCCATCAACAACATTCACTGATTTAGATTCTGGCCGGTAATCTTTGCACTGAACATGAAAATGAGCAAGAAAATACGTTTATATTATTAACACAGGCTTTTGATGCATAGACCCAATCGACAGGAGGAACCGATTTTGTCCACAAAAGCAGTGGGACTTGCGGCGGGGAGCTGAATGAGGCCTCATTACGCTTTGCGTGGCACTAAATAGGGTTCAGGTGGGTTGACAAAACGCTTCTTCAGTTAGTCCATGTGTCAAATTTGAAATATGGTTTTACTTCTAAAGCTTTAGGTTTGCGATTAGAAAATGCAGTCACATCAAAGAATATGATTCAATTGTATTGCGCAGTAGTAAACGTCAATGTGAACCCCTACGATCCTAGCTCGCAAATCGAGAAGCTCAAACAGAAGTCACGTTCGGATACGGTCCATGTTTCGAACATGGGAAGAGATAAAACATGGGAATGTATATATCAAATTGTTGGTGGACTGGATTGCGATCAACCGTCTTGGTTTGTTAGTGGGTCCGACAAATAACCTGAGTTCCGATATCCATGTTCTGATTGGTTTTCCCAGAGCAAAGAAGTTTTCAGGGAGCATGTTGACTCCATGACACGAAGATGCAAAGGATATGCCATACCAGAACTGCCAATTTGGTTAGCGTATTGTAGCGCCCCTGCATTGTCACTGAGAAACGAAACGTCGTCCATTCAGGGCTGTTTCCAGCAATGAGCTTAACGCCAGATTTCGTTAAGTTCTGTAATATTCCAAGAGATAATCAATGGCAAAAACTCACGCGACACAGATTGACAAGACAACTCTGTCATATACCAATGGTGACGGGAAACGAGGCTGAAAGGCCGTTACAAGCCCTGATTCTGAAGGCTATGACAAAGTGCTTTTAGGATAAGACTATTTTTCCGGTAATGTGTATCGCAGCAAACAGTTCCAAAGAGCAAAGCGATCGATGGAGTTGAAGACCGCTTTGTTGTGCAAAAGCACGATGATATCTTACCGTCTACATGTAGGATGGTGCTTCAGCAGCTGATGAAATGTAAAAGTCGGATCTGTGCAACTTCAGCTTGCACAGAAACCCGTCAGCTCTTCACAGATTCGCTCCCCGTGAATCNCGCTCCACCGGGACCAAAATATGTCTGGAACTAACCTTACAAAAGCCCTGATAGAAAAGAGGTGGGACATTTTTTTTCTTAGAAAAGGGTATGGTCAGCCTACTGATGAGATTCTCCCTATTCGCAAAAGAATCGGGAATAAGTTGCTTGATCCAGAGGTTTTACCGCACTTCGGATACCCCTTTATGTAGGCGGTTCAATGGATAAGGACAAAAGAGAACTACCAAGACTGCTACATTAGAGCTTACTTAAATTATGGTGTCAAATGCTCTGCATAGCGCTCCAAACGTCGGTAAACAATGAATTGTTGCGCACCATCTTCTTCGTGAATTGTTTCAATAATCCTTTGTTTTTAAGGCCAGCAGCACCGAGAAGTTGGGACAGCCGACGAGTGCTCCAGGACATACAAGCTGATTTCACCTTATTTGCACGTAGCTTTCACCAGACTTCCCGGTCATCTCGAATGCTACTTGTGATCTCGCCTTTAAAGAAGGGCTGTTCTTTGTGCTCTCGATCCGCCGGATGGGGGTCCTAAAGTCCAAAAAAGCCAGAAAGAACCCAGCGTTTCACGACGGTGCGTAGGGCAAAAGGTGTGTAAGCACGCTGCGTGTATTGCATCGTGGATGGTTGTCTAATGCCATTCAACACTCCTTGGTGGGATAGCACCTAAATTCGAAGATAAATCGTTTTTATAGTTGAATGCCACGACAGGATCGTAGATTGATAATATCAAGCTGTTTACGTCTGCACATTGTGAAGTGATTAACTGGCGTAGACAATTCGGGTACTTTAGACGCTTGACCCAGTCCGAAGAGCGTGCGGTCCGACGAACTGGCCGGGCCCCGCTACTTGCAGGTCGGGCTGCCTAGTAAAAGGCTTCGATTGTGAATTCCCCAAGAAAAATCACCCGTTTTGGCCTGGGCAACCTGGAAGTATCGCGTCCACAAACAAATTATAGAACCTCCTTTTTGTAAAGATCATTGTGCTGCGATTTGTTTGGGAAACAGTCTGGGCTCAGATCTGCATGAAATGTATGGAAATATAACCTCAGAGTGTCATTGAGAATAGTTGGTTGTCCACTATGATTCGTTCCACCAGAGCAATCGCGACCATGGTTCTCAAGGCAACACCAACAGGTGTTTCACCAAACTCTGACGCACCAGGGTCCTCGGAAAGACGCAACTGGTATATTTCTTGTGCCTGCGAGCCGCATTTGAGAAGAGTGTTTTGTAGTCACATAAAGGTGTGTCGGGTTGGAAGAGCGCTTATGGGCGCGATACTACTCGGTTTACCAAGGTGAATTAGAGGCCTTTATCAGAGGACTCTGCTCGGAGTATTTGGTGCAAGACCCAAATTCATAAGGCAAGGTGGTGGAACAGGGAATCCATGGGTCTAAATCACCACTAACATTTTATTAGTACAAGATGAAAGTGAAACCAGTGCGTTCCGAAAATAAACGGTCCATAAAAAAACGGAAACAGAGAAGCAAAAATTTTCGGCAGTACAAACCTCAAATCGCCCGGGACGGAGTAAAGCCTCATCGATCATGTCTCTTCGATTGGTCATTCCAATCACCAGGACATTATTCAGTTGCTCGACACCATCCATTTTTGTTAATAGCTGATTAACAACCGTATCATGAACTCCGGCACCACCAGCCTGTACATCAAAATGAAAAAGAGGGGAGGAATGGAAACACTGACCGTCACTCGTGTTCATGAGCATATATATAACCAGATATGAATGTTTCCCTCAGTAGTTTATACAAAAACAAACTCTTGGTGGTTTCTTTCAATCTTCAGTCTAGCCTATCCTTTAACGTCATTTGTCATTCGGATGGGCTACCAAGGATTGACCGAAAAAGTAGCACACAAGTACGTGACAGATGGATGCACATATACAGACTGAAAACATGCACGTATATTTGCATGACAAACCATTACTTTTGTGAGTGAGCTTTGCCGGCTATTTCTTCACTGTAGTCGCCTATTCAAAGTGAGATGACTTCGGAATCTGTCTGAACCATTGTCACCTTTGTACTCACAAGTGAGTAGTATCTCACAGCACTAGGAGCATCCAGTCCATCGGAGTCAGTATATATGCACTTGGTTACCGAATTGGATTGAAGCGTCCGTCGCAGCCCATTTTTCCATCCTCAAGCCTTGATCCGACATGGTAACCAACTTCGGTGAGACGATTACGACGCAGCAGCAGCCGGATTAGTTGGCAGATGAATGTTGGATATTCTATTCGAGACGTTGCTTTTTCCAACAAGCAAGCCGAACCCTATGTAACAATTGAGCTCTTGCACCAGGATCATCATCACCATCATCATCGTACAGCGAAATACAGTGAAGCGAACTTCACTGACCGTTGCCAAAATCGCAATGCATACAAGGTTAGTGGTAAAATTTAAGGTGGACGGGGATTGGATCTATTTTGATGGAGGGAGAAGAAGATGAGCCATTATGGTCAACACACAGTACGCAATGGAACTCTGCATACATACCGTTTCAAGCATTTT